TTTCATCTTGTTCCTTAGCCAGTTCGAGCATTCTTTTATTTATGTCTTTTAGCATTTGCGACATTGTGCGTGATTTAGGAGAGCTATTATTAGAAAGATCACTTTTAGCTGGGTCAGTGGATTGTAATGTCATTTTGTTGGTAGGGCCAGGATTCGTTTTCACATCACCTGCTTGTAGCAAAAGCATCGCTACATTAACACACTCACACAGTGCAGCACAAATAACCTAACGGACGTCGGATCTTCTTCTGCATACGTCTATCAGTCCGTAAGTATTCTATGTCCTTCGTTCGCTGGTACTTTTTTCAGCTCGTCGTCATAAGGCTCGAAGCCGCTCCATCTTTATGTCGATGTCTATGACGTTTACAGAGCAGGGGTTGTACACACAGTCTCTTGTACAGTGCTATTGATGGCCTCTTGTATATAGGATACATGTTCTTAGCATTGGTCTGCCATAAAAATCAGAATTTTTTTCCAGTCCACTCTTTTGACCGTGTCGCGAACTTCAGAAGGCAACAATCCGCTGATCTTGACGTATGTTGGAATGTGATCACTTCTTCGCGTTTTTACATCCGTAAACCATTTAGTGTGCTTCATTAAGCTTCGCGAAAAAAAAAAGCCAAGTCGAGACAGCTGCTGTATGTGGAGTCACGTAAAAATGTAGGAGTGCCATCGCTCAGTTACAAAAGTTTGTTGTCGGAGGCAAAAGACACCAAGTTTCTGCCCTTAATGTTGGTCTTCTGGCTTCTCTTAATGTATATTAGCGTTAAAATCCCAGGTGATAATACACGGGTCAGGTATTGACGCTATGATGTCTCTTAGTCTTTTTTGATCGAGCCGAATTGATGGTTGATAGGTAATGTTAAGCCTCCTCTTTTTCACTATTAAGCTAACGTATTGATTTCCGTCATGAGGTGGTACAGGTTGAAGGAAGTAAGGGAGGTCTTGGCGAATAAACACCAAAACCCTACTGCGTTCAGAAGCAGCAGACGACATGAATTGTTCATATCCCGAGAGTCTTATTGCACTCGATAAGTTCGGCTCACACATAATAATTATGGGAAACATATTGACGTACACAAATCGACGAAAATCAGTGATGTGTGATCTCAGTCCTCTGGCATTCCACTGCAGTACGGCTGTTCTAGGAACCTCATCCCTGAAAGACAGTGATGGGTTAGCCATGATCTATTCTAGGGCTGATATCACTAGGCTCAGCGCGTGCAGTACTTGAAGGGCACTTTTCTCTCACGGGGTATTCATGTTGCTTAACGACATGCGAATGGTGTCCACGAATGATCACAGCATCACCATCACGCGATGATCGGGCTTCCCAGCCGTTGCACATTTTGTGCTTGTTTTTGGGGCGGCTTCTGTTGAGGCTCAACGGGTCGTTTAGACGGCTTCTGTTGAGGCTCAACAGACCGTGTAGGCTGAAGGGGTGGCCATTCCTATGGTGAGAGAGATCTCTCAGTTTCTTTTCTTTCGGTACAGATGTTTGCCGCGCTCGGAGCCGCGTCTCTCGATTTTACTTTAGTTTGTGACTTTCTAGTTTGATTTGGAACTGTTCTTCGTGAAGACCTTCGAATATGATGGCACCTTCGCCTTACTTTTTGCGCAGCTTCTCTGTGAGTCGGGTTGTCTCGCATCATTTGCCTTAGAATTAAAATTTCCTTAATCTGAGGACAGTCCTTAGAGGAAGCACTTTGAGCCCGGTGGCAGATGGGGCATTTCAACGCAGTTGCACTACAGTAATCTTCTTAGCCTTCTTCACCGCATCGGGGGCACACTGGGGAATTTCAACAAACGTTCTTCATGGGGTGAATCTGGTGACCCTTGAAACACCTTATCGGCTTCGAAATGTTTTGGCGAACGTGGTGAGGAAAATGGCAAACCCTCACGTGAGGGGGAAGACAGTCACTCTTGAATGTAATTCGCACACAACGAGAGTTGACTAGGCACAAAGCATGTACAATGATGTTTTTTTCGCTCACCAGTTTCATCAGTACAGGAAAACTTTCATTGGCAATTTCGATGTCTATATCGTAGATAACTTCTGCTATGGTGTCACCATTCGCTGGTATGACGGATCGGCACTTTGATGTTTCCACGCTCCAACTTATGCTGTAGCGTGTTCAGTACACTCGAGCGCATCATGTCAATTGCCAAAATATTCTTCCTCGTGTTTATCCTGATGTCCTTAATCTCGTTCGGCACACTGTTGTCAAGATAGAAGGACAGTGCTTGCCTTTTGAGGACGGGTAAATTGACAGTAGTAGTCTGCAACACAAACAGAATAGAGTGAGGCTATCACTGAGGCGCAGTTCTCACAGTGGCTCACTTGATGCCGAATATGCATTCACGCATGATTCATCATTTGGCCTTGCGCTAAAGCACAGATTTAAAGCCACCTTCCGAGAACTCGTCGTACAGCGCGGTGCCCTCGCTATCACTAGATGCATCACGTGGCTTTTTTGAAGCAATGCACGTAAATTAACCGGTACCAGGTGTGATTTCTGGATATTGTACATTTATACCTTAGAAGTAGGGGGCAGGAGATCCTTGCTGTTGCGCTGTGTAACGTATAAAATACAGTACAAACGACAAGATGTGTTCCACCACCATGGAGAACTGCCAGTAAAGTTATAAGAAATGAACAACCGAGTATACCTACAAAATTAAAGATTAATAGAGAAGCGATCTATGGCACGGCGTTGCAAAATCATTTCAATATACAATTTCTTACTTCAGATGCTTTAGAGACGCCAAAGCAGCGCCATACTCAAACATTTCTATTTCGTTCATTCTGACAGCCTACACGGATTCGCTGCTTTTAGGACCAATAGCATCGGTTGTGTTTATTCCGAAAGACCAGAAATCACCTAGTTACAATGAAATCAGCATTTTGACTGGTAATTCAGCTATTCAGTATATTTTCTACCTCATTAACGTATATGTGCTGAACAATGCTGGCGACTGTCATTTTTTCAGACCAAATGATAGTTGCGCAGTTTAATGTCAAATTTATAGGTGGCAATGAAAATGACCACGAGAACTATCGAAAATTGCCGGTATTGTCGCTTTTATTTAGGATTGCAGAATGTATAATTGATAAGCGATTGTACAATTTCATACAAAGTAAAAATATTGTCTCCGACTACCACTACGGCTTTCAGTCAGAAAAACCGGCGGAATATTCGCTACTGCATATAAAGTCGACTACTTAGTAGTTTTGAGCATCAGCTTTTTGCAGGGGAAATTTTTCGTGGTTTTCAGAAAGCCTTTGGTTCGAATAAACACCAGATTTTGTTTAAAAAGTTATGGGCTACGGTATCCGTGGACGGGAACTAACATTACTGAAGCCCTACATCAAAATCCGAATCTAATGCACTACATCACGAATGTAAGCTGAACTCGGGGTACATAAACTTCGATGTTCCACAGGTATCACTTTGGGTTTTCGCTTTTTATTTTATGTAAAAATGATATCAGTCACATCTTTCACTTTGTCTTCATTGCTATAATTGTATTGTTCACCGATGACACTTACCATTTATTTTCTGGTACAGATCTAAACATAATAAAACGTCGTGCCAACACCTACCTCGAAGAACTTCATATCTGGTTTAGTGAGGTCTAGATTGAATAAACCGTAAACAAAGTATAGTATTTAACATTTGATCAAAAAGATAAGCTCGTCTTTTTTACTCCAAATTGAGCATCAATCACTTTACAATAGCGCTCGTAAACTCTTGTCAATTACTGGGGGTAAATTTAGACATTTACCAACTCAGGTCTAAAATTATTAACTTATCTAGGCCTCGCATTGTGTTATGCGAATTAAAATATTTTATTCAGTACGAATGAGAAAATATCTGTGTTTATTATTTATTCATTCTCGTCTAACATATTGTCATCAAGTCCGGGGTACATGCAAGAGTATTGATGCTGAACGTGTTTTCTTTCTACGAAATAAATAAAGCTTGAAAATATATTGCTCTCGTCCACCCTCACCAACCAATTCCCTGTATAAAACCTTCAACATACTATAATTTTCCCAGTTGTATAAATTTTGCTTAACGCCAATGACTTCACACAAAATGAAACACGATTATACTGCCTTCTTAAACAAATATTGACCACACAAATGACCTATGGATTACGCACAATAGTAGTGACGGGATCAAGACAAAGTAAACTACGGTAGTAAAACTATAGGTTATCAAAATATTTTATTGCGTCATGCATGTTAATTGTTCAACAAACTGACCAATCAAAAAAAATTTTAGTTACAAAAATAAATAAAACTTATGTCTCCTTCAAACGCACAATGTTTCAATGACGTATCACGCGATGATGATTGCATTTCGCTTTAATTTGTACATGCTTTATACGCAGAGACTTACTTCCGTTATGGCGTTTGTATAAACTTATCCCCTAGTGTTCATGTCGAAGGGTTTTTTCCTTCATGTTTGTATCCTGCGTATTGAGCAGCGTAAATGTTCTTTCTATTCATTTCACGTAGTTTTCCTGGTTTCGCTCCTACTGTGAGACATGTAAGTCCGGGGTCAAAGCCTCGACGGGAGACGTACGAGTTTCGTTTTGCCTTACTCTGCCGACATATTTTAAAGTGTGAATTGTGTATATATGTCTGTCTGTCTTAAGCCGAAGACCACAACGCTGAATTACGTGACTCGTGCGGTGCACTCTTGCTGTTGGCGGGTTTCAACGCTGCATGCAATGGCGGAACTGCGCCAAGGCGTGTGGCCCGGGAATATAATAAGACCCTCAATGGAAATTTCTTCTTGATAGGCACCAACTCTTTATGGTTGAGTGGTCTGGACCCAAGGGCCACGTTCGACGCTTGGCCGGTTAAATGACTTATGACGCGTTCCTTTTCACCGGTGTTTACTATGCAGGATGAACAGCGCTAAAAACGAAAACAGGTTTACTGCTTGCAAACAAACACAACCACGCATTGAGTAGTGTTTTTTTTTTACCATGCCGGTGACGAATATGACGATCACCATCAGACCGACCACAATAACAGGAATGCTCTCAGTGCCGATGACTGCCAGCCGGGAGAGGGCGACCAGGCTGTTCTGCACCATCTGGCGGCTCAGTGCGGCCATGCGGTTGTCTACTCCGCTGAGATCAGCGGTGAATCGATTCAAAATCCTGCCTCGGGGTGTGCTGTCGAAGAATGACACCGGGCTGAAAAGCACACGTTCGAGCATCTTGTGGTGGAGCACGCGGGACAGCCGGTTCATGGCGAACGAGAGCAGCACGTTACCCGCCAGGCGGCTGACCACTGCGAAGAGAGGATATAGCCACATTAATTTCTCAAGTTTTCTGATCACCCTGTTACACTATGTTCAGTGCAAATCGCGCCTGCAATGTTCGAGAAGCTTTGAGGCTGAAGTAGGTCATGTCGTTAAAGGTGCCCTGCAACACTTCTTAAGCATGTTGAGAAAGCACTGCTGATCGGTAGTAGAGGCCAACGTTTTTGAATACCGTTAGTTGGAAAAGCCCGCTCCTGGAGGCGGACACCAAGTCGTATCCGCTCTGAGGGTGGCACTGGCATAGCGTTGAGATCAAGCCTGCCGCCGCCACCGGCTACCCGCCACTTCCCGTGGCAGCGTTGAAGCTTTCTTTTTTAAACGACAGTGTTTTTGGGGTTTTTGGGGACCTTCGACGCCAAAATTTCGGTCTGTCTGTCTTTCTGTCTGTCTGTCTTTCTTTACATTTCTCTTTTTGTCCGCGGTTACAATTTTCCTAAAGGTACCAAAGGATACTTCAAACGGCCAACCCCGAGCACAGGGCCCACAAGTATTTCTCAAGTTTCAGTCTTCATACTTCTGCGATTGTCAATTAAAAGCATATATTGCGTATATAAGGGGCAGCATAACAACACGTCGATGTTTTTGTTTGTGTGCCTTTGTACTAGAGAAGGCACACACAAGTAATTTTAAGGACTGTAGAATTTATCACACTGCGCAGGCAGTGTAACACTATGCTAAAAAAGGCAGTGTTTCCAACGCTTTGCTGAGGCAACACGGTGGTGGCACCTACCCGTCGTTTTGCGTTCTACTCCTTATCGCTTCCGAGACAGATGTGAATCTTTCTCCGTGGGCGCTGACGCCTTCTTTCGTTTTCGAAGATAACTGCCAGATGGCGCTCATCTCTGACGTGCCTCGATGCACTTATTCGCCTTCACGGCATATATCGCGTTTCTCTAATAGCAGCGCTTCCAGAATTCAATTCACCAATTTTCTCGCGTCGAACATCAAACAAACGTTTTGTTCCATCTCATCACATCTTTCGAGACTATCATCTTTCGACGACATTTGCAGCAAAACATGCTGACGTGGGGCCCTTTTTTGTTTTCACTTGCTCAGACCACGAGGGCTTAAGCTTGAACGCTTGATTTCGGTCACCGCAAATTGTAATTCACATTACACACGACGAGAAAGCAGGCTTGAGTGAAATAGCAGTTTATCATAGTAAACACGCCGACCTGCCGCGCGCCAGGCAGTCAACGAGCAGCCTCTGAGGATAACATTTGCGATCGGTGGCACTTATTTGAAGCCCCAAATGACCCTGTCTCGTGAAGGACTGCTGCTATACTGCAAAAAACTTTCCATGTGACAGTCAAAACCTACATTCGGAATCTACATTTTGAATCCGAAACCTAATCAATTGCTTCAAGCACATCGCAAGCTGAAACGTCAAAATTCCACGTTGTTGGTGGTTACTTTAGCTCGGTGCTGTTCCTCGAATTTTCCCGAATATTTCTGCACAATTGTCTAAACCAGCAGCATTAAAACGCAAAAGAACGCCCCCGAAAACCATGAATTTCGAGGGCCATGTGTCGTGAAGTGGTGGCAATATGCCTGACGGTAACCTGCCCAGCAGTGTTGCTGACGAAGCTACTGGTGTCCCCTGCAATCCAGAATTTTGTCCAGGGGCGCTATGCGGGAGCAGCCGAGTTTCGCGAAACTCGACATCTTCTTGAGCTCTGGCGACACCCCCTTAAGAACGAGGCAGCAATATGAAAAAGTCAAATCCACCCTCCAGCGCTCTGCGCTTCATTGGTTTATGAAATCAGTCATCGCGTCAAAGACGGTCGACTAAGTTGGGTGGTGTTTTCAAAGCAAAGGCATCTTCGTTCATTTGTTTGTCGTTGCACTGAGTGCAGAATTGCACCCATGCAGTAGCAATGTCAGAAACATATCGTGATAATATTTGTAAAGGCACGGGGTATTCAAATTATTTTGAACGCTTGGAAGTCTGTTTTAGAATAGAATAATCAATACGGTAGCCTTTGAGACCGGTACCATCCGAACATCTACAACATCGCGACTGCAGCTAAACCCGAGGCCACGTGTTAATCATCATGGTCGGCCTGTACTTTCTAGGCGCTTCTCGACTGGTGCGCGTCATATATGTTGTCTTTGCCCGCTAGCACCCGAGCACGTGCAGCCGGTTAATTACGTATTAGGGGCCAAAGCTTCTAAGCCATGGCTCTGTCTCTCCTATCTCAAGGGACGTGACCGCCTAGTTTATGACTCACACAGTAGGAGTGGACGGACCGACAGACAGAGAGACGACTCACAGTTTATACCGATAAACTTCCGATGCTTCTCCTCACTCATCAACATTCACTCCGTGGATATATGCTGTGATTTCTTTAGCTGGAAAGTATAGTTGGCTAGTTAGTCGAGTACATACTAAAACCAAGTTAGTTAGACCAAGTTATGATAAGGAAGACGTAATTAAGTCGCATTTTAAGAAGACCATCCTAATAAGTTAGAAGCTAGAACTAGGCTAACTAAAGCATGCTAGTTTATGAGCTAACTGACCTATGCCTAATTAATGCGACTTTATACATGGGAAGACTAAGTAAGCCATATAATTAGCCTAGACTAATATGATGACACTTAGAATCCGTTAATCAGGATTTTGTTCAATAGCTCGATAGTGATTGTGGCCTCAGTAGTGTGGCCCGAGATAATTCCCTTTTAATGAAAGTTTTATCGGTGATGACAAGACAGCTCAGTGTAATGGTCGTTATGTCTCAGCCAATTATTACAATCGAAATTAAGACAGACCTGATGAGGTCTTCACTATGAAGCCGAACACGCGCATAAGTAGACAACCAACCTTAAAAGCTGCAAGAAGCTAGGTTATCAGAAACTCCTCTATGCCTTCATTGCACAAGTAGTGAAAGCTCCCCGAGGTATTTTGAAATTCAAGTGTGACGCTTACTAGGTATTTTCTTCGGTACATGTATTTACACTTTTAGACACGCAGCCAATTTGTTAAAGGGCCCTTATGAAAGAGAGATATGCTAAGAAGCTGCCGCTTAGCGCTCACCACATCAAACGCTTGACAGTCACGCCGGCACCATCGCAGTCACGAGTTGAACTCGGGTCTTCTCAGAATCAACGAGTTTGCGTCCGAGTTCACGCGTCCATCAGTTCGATTGACAGACGCTCGCGCCGAATGCTGGGTAGGCCCACCGCGTTTGCTCTTGCCGGGAAGCAGTACTGACGTCGAGCAGCACGATTAATCTAGCTTTATCGCGCAGACTATGCACACACGCACGTAGAAGTAAAAGTGATATCACCAAGCGGCTATGATGTCTCGCATTCAATTCTACTGTACTGACGACATAGCTAATTACAAGCGCAATGCCGACAAGACGCGAGTGCCCTTTGTGACCACCTGTTCTTATTATAACCTGCAATACTCGATAGGTAGAAACGGAACGAGCAGCACGAGAATGGTGCGTGTGTACCATTGCTGCCTTAGAGAGTGGAAACTTCTATGCTGCAGTTGCAACGAAAGAACCTGTGCGAAAGAGGACATGAGCCCACAAACGCGCCTGTAGGAGGTGCGTAATGAGTTGGCAAAAATACAGCACGACGATCACGCTGGCCTCACTTCACTGCTCAAAAGTTGAGTGAGTGACGACGCCGACGTGCCCGCACGCCGTGTATCTTCGATAACCACTGCGAAACATGCTTCTCTAACACCACACGCGTTCTTGTAGCCACTTTTATCAACGCTGCTCTCAATCGCTCCTCACGGTCTTTATGTCATGGCCACCACAAGCGAGCTCAGAGCGAACTCGGCTGCCCGAGAAGCTTGGGCCATCCTGCATTGCACCCCAAGGGTGGCAAATTCGTTCTCTGCACAGCAAGATGAAACAAAATGCGAATTCTGAAATGCCAAGTTATCTGGGCACAAGTTGGTGGTATTGAGTTAGCATATGTAGGGACATTCTCGGCTGTAGTTTGCCGCCAGCGTCGGCGTCGACATCCGCGCCACTCACCGTTTATGTATAAGTATATTCATGAAAACGCAAGAAAGAAGAATGTCTAGAATTATAAACCATGGCGCAAGGAATTGAACTTACAATCTCTGCGTCATGAGTGCGAGGCGGTAACCAATGAGCTACCGAGAGGCACGTCCTTCAACGTGCGAACGGGAAGCTATTTGTATTGCCGCGCGCTTTCCTCAAGTTTTCTCATGAGCCCTATACGCTGTAAGAGATTCTCAGCGCAAACCGCGCATACAATGTTCGGGAAGCTTCAGGGCTGCCGTAGATCATTTTGTTAAGATTACGTCCACGTCGCGAGCATTTCAGATTATTCTGGAATCTACGTCACTACTTGCCATAACGCTAGAATGTTCGATGACAAGCGTATAAATGTCGACACGCTTCGCCGCTTGTCAGTTGATCGACGGTCGACGCTATGTTTTCCGCTATCAGTGCCAGTGATCTACTTTCCTTTGGCATGGCCGCGTTTTCGGCCCAAATAAACAGTTTCTACTTCGACCTGGAGTCTGCTCTCATCAGTTTACGTCACAACCCCGTGACATCTGGTGAAGGTGCCTCCTGATCCATGTACCGCACACACCCTTCCAGCCGTGAGCCAAGTCCACGTTGTAGGAATCAAGACCAGCGAGTCAAGACTAGGAAGTCAGCCGTAGGCAACAAGGTCCACCACCGGAGTACGGGCCTTTACCAAACAAGAATCGCACGCATACTATGACGACCACTGCTGCAACGATGACTGCTGCTGCCCCACTGCGATGCACCCACCCCGAGAACCACCGAGATTTCTATATATAGGTTTGTGGGCTCTTCATTAGATGCTCCATATGGAGCAGCATATGGAGTCTGCGCTTGTTTTTTTTTCTTCTCTTGTGTCCCATCGGTTTGCGCTTCCAAATATTTCATAATGAATTTGTACCAACTAGCCCGCCTGTCAACCCTTATGCCTCGTATGGAGCACCTAATGA